TTCTTGTTCACTGTAGGCAGTAGGATCAATAATTCCTTGGGACATGGAAAGCTAGGGTCTTCCCCTTTCTGGGGCTCTTTTGCATCTACTCTGAAATGTTAGTGAGAGGGTTCAGGCCTTAGGAGTGTTTTCATGTCCAAGGTCTATTTATAAGGTGCCTTTTTTCAAACTTTGTAAACCTCCTTTACTCCAAAGAAAACCAGACCATCATCTAGTACCAAATTTTCTCTCCTAGAAGTCACTGTTCTGCNATACTGAGGATGATTACAGTGATTCACTGAGGTTTTCTCTGGAACACAGACTACTTGAGTGGATGGGTGCTAAGTTGGAAACATCTGCTCTGTACTAGCATATCCAGCCATCCTCATGTGTACTCATTGTGGGCAGCATGCCATTTTCATGCAATTTTAATTAGTATGGCATAAACATCTGAATTCGGTAGGCTGTTAACAAATTGTACAAATTTTCTTTCAACAAGATAGCTAGAGGGCCTTAAGCAATGAATAAAAAACTTCAAACTCCATAATTGGAGGAAATTGAAAAGCTTCATATGACAAGGCTGGTATCATGGGGACAACTGGGAACCCCTGCCTGAGTGTGGCCTGGAAAGGGTCTGGTCACGTTTACACAGTTAAGGCTGATAGAATGGCAGTGTTTGGGGGGAAACACCAAGAGCTTTAGATCTTTTGCTGAATCATTTTAATGTGTCTCTTAAAGCAAATAAAAAAAATCTGTAAAAAGGTAAGAATAATATTGAATGGGGTGGAACCTCTAAAATTATGCAATTCTTTGGTATCTTAAAGTCCCTTTGTAGCTCACTTAGATTAATGCCTTTTTTGGGAAGAGTTCTGTAAAATCTGTTTTGGATGAAATTTCACAGTGCTGGCGGCTAGCAAGTTAAAATGTCTTTTTGAGCTCACTAATTTAAAGCTTGGAATCCTTTTTATGACTTGAGGTGAATATTTTACATTTAAAATTATGCCATAAGCTATATTTTTAACCTTCACTGTGGTGTATGAGTCCAGAACTTGGCAAGGATTTCACACAGCTCCTCTGTAGAAAGAGCTTTTTCTAACAGATGAGCGAGGTGGAGAGAACAAGGCTAATGCTTATCAAGACCTGTTTTACTCAAGACCACAATAGGAGGACGGCAGAACAGTGTGGTCCTGCAGAAACTGAAGCCTGACACTCCTTACACAATCACTGTATCCTCCCTGTATCCTGATGGTGAAGGAGGGCGGATGACGGGAAGAGGCAAGACCAGTGAGTAAAACGAGAGTTCCTGTATAGCTTCTTTAACAACTACCATTGGAATGGAGTCACGTCTTCATCCAGAAACACCGGGTGACACAAAGTTTTACTAAACTTTTAAAATTCAGTCAAAAGAAGGCATTAATTGTTTTTTAACATCTTTGCCTGGAATTATCTGTCTCTATTTGTGGAGGAAAATGTTATTACTTTCTAGGATAAAAAGAGCTCAAGGCCAAAATGTCTTGCAGATAGATGAGATGTATGTACCAGATTAACACAGACTTTTTTTTGTTGTTTATTCATTACTTCAACAAATATTTGTGGGGTGCCTGCTATGTTGTAGGGTGCCTGGGAGATATTAACGAACCTGTGTTTTGTGTTGCTTGGTTGTTAAGATCATACTGTGATGTGACTTCTGTGCATTTCAGAACCTCTGAATACTGTGAAGAACTGTTGTTTATTCATTACTTCAACAAATATTTGTGGGGTGCCTGCTATGTTGTGGGGTGCCTGGGAGATATTAACGAACCTGTGTTTTGTGTTGCTTGGTTAAGATCATACTGTGATGTGACTTCTGTGCATTTCAGAACCTCTGAATACTGTGAAGAACCTGAGAGTGTATGACCCTTCTACAAGCACTTTGAATGTTCGCTGGGACCATGCAGAGGGAAATCCTCGCCAGTACAAGCTTTTCTATGCACCAACAGCTAGTGGTCCAGAGGAACTGGTAACTATTTCCTGTACTGAAAATGCTAGTTTGTTTGAACTGTAGCTAAGTGATTTAAAAGTGGAACTAAAAGAGTTAACCAGTTTGCTTTAGAGCTGAAGAAGTTCATATTCATTTAATAGGACTCGGCAAAGGGTAAGTAGTTCGTGCTTTAGAAACTAAGTAGTAGGGGCATTGAGGGATTGGAGCCAGGGGAAGAAGTGATCATTCCAGAAAGTTCTAAAGGGAGAGTGTATGAGTGTAGAGAAGTCTTCATAACCTTTTGTATCAGTTCATACGGGGGCACATCATTATATCCTGGTATTACAGAACTTGCTTCTTGGTCTTGAGTTGGTATTATTTTGTTTGAAGTATTATTTCTTTTACAAGTTTTTCATATCAAATGCTTTATGTTTTATTAAAATCTTTAGGTACCGATCCCTGGGAATACCAATTATGCCATTCTTAGGAATCTGCAGCCAGATACCCCATACACGGTTACAGTAGTTCCCGTTTATACTGAAGGTGATGGGGGACGCACATCAGATACTGGAAGGACATGTAAGCAAAAAACCAGAAAAATTAATTTTCATCATAAATTTTACTTTTCATTATAAAAGCATATAGGTCCATTAAGAAAATTAGGAAAATACAGAATGATAGAATTGAAAACATGAGAATTACCCATAGTTCATCTCCCAAACACCACCACCTGTTAACATTTTGGTGTATGAAATAAATTTATAATGGCATTCTTCTTTTGAAATGGTAATTTCAGGTTTTGTAACTGTACGTAATCAACAGTATGCTATTTCAGTTATTCTTTTTCACTGACAAAAAATCATTGAGCTTTGCTTTGTGCCTTATAAATTCATGTGAAGCAGTGCTTTGTGATTGACTTTTATGGCGTGAATTGTTGAACTCTGTTCATCGCATTACTTGAGTGTGCATTTCTTTGGTTTGCCAGTGAAGCGCTTTTTGGCATTAAAAATCTGTGTCCTTTTATTTGCACTAATGTCTTGAGAAACCAATTTATAGTGTTTCACTATTCTTTGCAGTATTGCTTAAGGATTTTTGTGCATACTTATAAATATTTCTTTGGTTTTAAAATATACTTGCTGATGGATGAAAGGAAAGAAGCAGGGATGGCTTCTCTGGTGAAAGATTAGTGGTCTAGAAAGGTGATATAACCGGTGAAACTAGACTTTGGGTCCAGTGTGTGGATTTAATTTGTATGTTTTCTTAAGTCCCTATTGGGGCAATTAATTGAGAACTAAGTGTATCTTATTTCTTCCTCCTTTTGTCTTTTCTCTTAATCACAGAAGATGTTCAGTAGTTGTTTCTTGAATGAGGAAGGAATGAATAAAAGAATGAATGGTTGAAACTAGCTGACTGAACCAGATAGGCTCCATAGTTCTTGCCAGCTTTTGCTTAGAAGGGAGATGCTATAAAATTTCTCTTCTCTCTCCTCCTTACCTGTGTTGGAAAACTGAAGCTCCTTTTCCTGTTTTTTCCCCCTTGTTTCATGTCCCTCTATGGTCAGTTCATTTCTACTGCTTTTACTGGCTTTTTTCATTGAAAACAGTGTTGCTTCCATATAGACAAAAGTCATAGTTGGCTAACTTTGACTTTTCCCCCTTGTTTCATGTCCCTCTATGGTCAGTTCATTTCTACTGCTTTTACTGGCTTTTTCATTGAAAACAGTGTTGCTTCCATATAGACAAAAGTCATAGTTGGCTAACTTTGACTATTTTGGACCTAGAGAGTTTTAATCTGCTTTTGTGTATAGATAATTAGAAGTTTAAAGAAGATAGTAGAAGTTGACAGAGTGTAAACTGTGGAAGGTGATAAAAGCTTGACATGCACTCATATAAACAGACTGAAGAAATAGACATTGGCTTTTATTTCCTCAGTGGTGAGAGGACTGGCAAGGAATGTCCAAGTGTACAATCCTACGCCCAACAGCCTCGATGTTCGCTGGGACCCTGCGCCCGGGCCTGTGCAGCAGTATCGCATTGTGTATTCTCCTGTGGCTGGCACAAGACCCTCGGAATCTGTAAGTAATTTTGTCATCTTAGAGCTCAGCAAAGGAATTTGGTAGATTCCGTCGTGCCTCCTTCCATGGCTGCTGGCTAGGAACAATAAGCCAATTATTGGTGTGGCACTGCCTGTCATGGAAACTGCATTTGCTGATGAATGTAATCACATGTATGTGTCATGTTTTGTAGCCTGTGAGAACACAAACCACAAACATGCCAGTGCATGATACTTAAATGATTATTTTTGATGAATTAAGGCAGATGTGTTAATTATAAGGATAGTTAGGGGAAAAAAAGAATTTTGAGAAAATGCAAATTAGCTATATGAGGTAAAAAACCCCAGTAATAAATGCAAATCATTGCTAGACCTTATAAATATGGGCTTTTGTTGTAAAGTACAAATGTCTTGCTATGAAAATATCTTAAAGTTTTCCTTCACTGGCATTTACAAATTGCCCAAACTATCTTCAATTCATATTATTCAGTTTTGAAAGATTAATAATTTAGAAATTAGAAATTACTAATTTCATTAAGAATAGTATCAGAAAACCTAAGGGAAAGTAAACTTATAGACTAATTTAACTTATAAGTCTTTGCAAAAATAAACAATGATGAAAAACAAAGATAAACAAATAATAAGCAATATATGTATTCTGTAAGAATATTGATTTTCATGTCCCTGTGCATGGTAGAATATATTCAGACAGCTTTAGCTTTATCCAATGCATAGAGTCTCTATTTGAACCCCAAATCTCTCTTCCACTAGCATGGGAGTCCCTTCTTTTATTTGTGTGTATAACATTCAGGATGCTCTTTGGATAAATACCGTGAGCCCTGGCTGTTGTATTTGAGAATTTTTTTTATAACAAACATAAATAGAGATAATTGAAGCTACTAAACAAGCATAGAGATAATTGAAGAGTCAAGGATGAACTGACTTGTTTGGGAAGGGAATTTCTGAGGAGAAATGGCATCTAATGGTGAGGCCTGGGCAGAACTTAAGGGGAAGCACAGTTGGCTTCTGACGTGTCTGGGCTCAGCCTTTTATTATAGTGTTACACTGACTAACTAAAGACCTAGTAAGCATTTGGATTGTTGTCAGGCAGAATTTGACATTTCACACCACCCTGCCCCCACCCCCTCTGCAGATTGTGGTGCCAGGAAATACCCGCATGGTGCACCTGGAGCGGCTGATTCCAGACACACCCTACTCTGTGAACATTGTGGCTCTCTACTCAGATGGAGAGGGGAATCCCAGCCCTGCACAGGGCCGAACATGTGAGGCGGAAATCCTTTCTCCACCCTGTTCCCTTGTAGCTAGATTGGCCGGGCTTCTCCGAGTGGGTGAGGGGTGGGAGGTGGGTGGTGAGTGAAGGGTGTGGAGAGCTTTCTCCCTTTGTGCAGGTAGGGGGTAGGCCTCTGCGAGTGATTCTGCCCAGGTTCCCCCATACTCACATTCCAGCTAAAGCTCTGGGTCCGTGACTGTCCTCTGTGTTGAGTGAACTTCATTCAGTCATTTTTTTCATCTGGGACCTAAATTAAGGAGGAGTTTCTTTCTTTTGCTCTGCAGTGGGTCTTCTCACCTTATGGGCACTTTGGAAGTATGAGGGCTTGGCCTCTACGTTGTGTTAAACAGAGATGATCATAGTAGTTAAAACAATCCCTTTCTTTCCTAGTCTTTGCATTTAGGTTCCAAACCAGCTCTATGTCGCTGAAAGTACAGCATGTAATCATATCTCTGAAATGTAACACGTTATACTGTTTATGATTTCACATGGAAAACTATCTCTCGTGCGGCAGTCACGTTTTATATGACTTTTTCAACATGATATTGGGACCATCCAACTGTGCCTAGTCTGATCTCCTGCACCACAGAGAAGCAACGTTTTTGGCTCATTTCTGTTCTAAAGATAGATTGAAAAACCATCTTATCTTGTGATCATCTACATATTTCTAACTGCCTGATTACAACATGGGAACTAAGTTTAGTGAAATATGATACATGTTATTCTGGAATGTCTAAGTTAAGATTCAAATGATGTGATTATCCAAATCCTACCCTTTCTTCAAATCTAATTCCTCTATAAGATCTCCCATAAATGCTCCAGTGCTAAGTGATCCCTTTTCTCTGAAATTTACATTTTCCAGCACACTTTAGTTTGGGAATATGCTTACTCTCTTATTGACTTCAAACTTTTAAGTGTCATATTTTGTCTCTCCAGAACCAGATTCAAGTTTCTTGCAGCTTCCTCATAGCCCTCACTATGCATAGCCATTTGTTATGGAGGGAAAAATTTACCACTTTATTTGAAGTTTAGTGATTATAATTGATGTGATAGGTTTACGGAAAATTACACAAAATATTGATTGTAAAGGAGGTAGATGTGTGGTTTGCAACCTTTTTACCACATACATCCTTTTAGATCATTCCTCCTCCATGAATTCCAGGTGATGAAATATTTCATCTACTGGAACTTGATATAGTAAGCTTTAATTCAGGTCTCTACTTTTATTAATAAGAAATACATGCAACTGCCATGTACAGTTTCCAATCAAAATGAGATAAACTGTATTACCATAGTTAGTTTGCCAAAGCAGAGAAGCTCATATTTAGTGTTTGTTCAGCCTTGCCACTGACAAATATGCAATTTCTCATTACTTTTTGGAAACATTAAAAATAGAATATTTTCTGCTAACTTACTGTGTGTAGTTATGGGACTCCAGGCTAGAATCACTGGCATAACTGATCCATGTTGTTTGTAGAAACAAAGCATAGGCTCAGAAGAGAGATTGAGAGATGTCTGGTTCATTTCCTCTTTGAGGAGGTAGTTGAATGTATTTTCCACTTCCTTTTTTTTCATTATTTTCACCTAATAAGCATCACTCAAACTAATATTCTTGAGGGCAGAAACTGAGCCCATTTTTGCTTACCAGTGGATTTTCAGCAGCTAGTACCATGCCTGGTCCACAGTGGTTGATATTTGTTGAAAAGAGTACATGAAAACGTAACAGGTAGCAATGAAAGACGATGGATACAAACTTACTACTGACTGCTTCAGTACTCAGGAACATGTTCTCAGGTGTTGTACATACGTATTGTTGCCTTTAATCCTTACAGTTTCCTTCAGAGATGCTAAGTCACAGACTAAGTGGCTGATCTGGGATTTGAGCCTAGATTGGTCTGACTCTAAAACCATTCTCCCACACTGCATAGAGGAGTGTGGACTATTTGTCTTGACATGAGTGTTGTGCAACAAAAATATGAAGAAACCATTACAGTTTATGGGAATACATAAAACAATATTATCTTTTGATCTGGAAGTCAAGATCTAGCTGGTAATAAATTTATAATTTAACTTCCCTTATAGACCACAGTCCCAGGCAGAAGAAACAATGTAATACTGCAGCCCCTGCAACCTGATACTCCATATAAAATTACTGTTATTGCTGTTTATGAAGATGGAGATGGTGGCCATCTTACAGGAAATGGAAGAACTGGTAAGTGTCTTATACCTTTTTATTTTCTTTGACATTGTCAGGATTTTAATGTTGCTTCTAATTATGTTTTAAAATCTTTAAATTTTGTTTTTACCAATGCATCTCAAATACCACCTTAACATTGCACTGGCATTTGTATCAAACCGTAAATTTTGTTAGAGCGATGGCACGAGAACAGAATTTGCTTTTAATTTTTTTAAAGGTCCACTAAGAGAACACAATGGAGACAAAATATTGCATACTTTATTTTGAGGATAGTTTTATTTCTTCTTTGGAAAACTATTACATATTCTCTGAATAACGTTTTGGTTTGTGTGGTGTCAGTTAAGGCTATAGCTGTTAAGTCAATATAGTATCAGCAAAACATACCCTGTCATGATTATTAAAAAATACTCTTATAATCTTAAGTCATAAGTAAAGAAGCAAGATGATTAGCCATGACCTTCTGTCTATGAATTTAGCTTTTCTTAAAAAAAATTTTTTTTGGGCTGGCCCGGTGGTGCACTGTAGAGTGCGCCGCTTGGGGGTGTGGCGGTGCTCCCGCCGAGGGTTCGGATCCCATGTGGTGACTGGTTCCCGCTCACTGGCTGAGCGCGGCGCGGGCGCAACACTGAGGGTTGCGATCCCGTTGCCGGCCAGTAAAAAAGACAAAAAGGAAAAATAAATAAATAAAGTTACAGATCAGTAAAATTAAATATATTCAAATTAACTTGCAACTATCACCAGCATACATCTGCAAAATGTCTTCATGTTCTGCAAATAAAATTTGTACTTGCCAAACACTAAATCCCTATTTTCCTCTACCACAAGCCCTGGCAAGCACTATTCTATGGCTACATCTATGAATTTTTCTACTTTAGAAACCTCATATAAGTGCAATCATACCATATTTGTTTTCTCATGACTGGCTATTTCGTGTAGCTTGATGTCTTCAAGCTTCATCTATGTGGTAGTACTTTCCAGGTTTTTTCTTACTTTTTAAAGCTCAATAGTATTATTATCCACATACACCACCTTTTGTCTATCCATTCATACACGGGTGGATGCTTGATACCTATACTGGTAGCAATTTCTTATGGTTTAAAGATTCTCTAATTTGGTTGCTCATTGTAATCATTAAAGAGCTTTAAAAAATGCTTATGGCTGGGAGCCATTACCAGAGATACTGATGTACCTGGTCTGAGGTATGGCCTGGACCCACTGATGTTCTCGTGAGTAGCCAAGGCTGAGAGCCACTGATTTAACATAAAGGCTGGGTGATCTCTAGGACTGAGTTCTGTTACTGGTAGGTATTGGCATTCCTCTTTTACACTTCATTCAGCAGAAATCTACTTAGGTAATATGATTTCAGGTTCCTTCCTCCACACACTTGCCCAAACTCTTTGTGATTAAATGGTCTTGACAACATTATGAATTTTGGACAGTTAACACTCGAAAGCTCCTAAGAGAAAAGCAGAACTGGAGTCAAATCAGCTCAGGCTCTCAGGGTCAGGAATCTATGTTTATTGATACTATTGTCTACAGGACTGAATTGATGGTGATTCAGTCTAGAGACTCAAAATGATTTTAATTTAACAGCTTGCCTTCTTTCACTTTCCCATATGTTTTAGAATGTATTTTGGTACTGTCCTGGGGAAAATGGCATATTTCAGAATATTGTGATTATCAAAATATAAAAAAATCTTTACTAGGTCTTGAATTTTCCAGGAAAGGCCAAGGCCATGTCTAGTTTCTCTCATGAAAAAGTCTTTCAGGTTGGATTTGTTATTTGTGTAGTGCTATGAATAAGACTCAACGACTACTTAACATGCCACCTAAATAGGATTGATTTTACAAGTTGTGGATTTGGGGAGATTCACTCTAGGTTATATTGGTGGCTGATAGAGTGGTGTAGTGTTGTTTTAGTCACTAGCTAGCTGTGTGGTCTTGGGCAAATCATATCTTATTTATGAGATGAAATATTTAGACTAGAGAGAATCTCTAAATTGCTTTCTGGTTCTAACAATCTGTAATCTATAACATTCTAAAAATGGTCTGAAATCTCTTTTGTTTTCTGTACTTAAGCTCTGGTTCTTGCCTCCTACTGAAGAGGCTTTTCTGGAAATCACGAGTTCCTGAGTCCATTTGAATTGCTGTTTGAATTTGGAAAACCGCTAAGCTTTTGTTGAACACTTCAATGCCTTTCAATTGTTTTCTGGATAAGGACATTATGGATATTATTAAATGGGTCTATACAGCTGCCCTATCGATACTTACAAATTTTTGTGCTCTCTCTCTGTGTCAATGAAAACTCAGTAATGTGTGCCAATGTTTGTTTTCAGTGGGACTACTTCCTCCTCAGAACATACACATCTCTGATGAATGGTACACGAGATTCAGAGTGTCCTGGGACCCTTCACCCTCTCCAGTTCTTGGATATAAAATTGTGTATAAGCCAGTGGGTAAGGAAGCAACTTTATCATCATTGAAATGCATTGGAGGGTTATTTGCATATGAGAGAGTTCCCTTTCCCATCCCTTGCTATTGGATTCTTCTGATATTTCAGTTATCACATCAAGTCCCTTCCACCAGAGGTAATGTTTCTGGAAGTAACATTTTAAGCCAAAAGTCTGAAGTACCATTGTTACTATAGGTGTAGATGAGACTCTCATTAAATTTCATAATTGAAAAGTTTGACCTAGTACACAAAATTGCACAAATCAAAGCTGCTTGTGTTCAGACACGTCATGTTGTTATGATCGTGAAATAATGCCTATTTAATAAATATAAACTTCTGTATTTTTCCCATTATATCCTGGTATTGTTCCTTTTGGGGCATAGATTTTATCCATTTTAGTTTATTCATGACAGACTTGCATTCAGCTTCCCACTGACATTTTCATTTAAATTGATAAATTACTCACTGTCTTTGTTTCCATGTTCTATCTATATGCTTAGCAAAATTGTAAGAAATATACTCTTTGTACCAAATTTGCTAGGGCATCTTCTAAGCACTCAGGAGGGTATGAAGAAGGAATAAATGAAAAGAGAAGGCAAAAGAAAGAAACATGAACCTGTGCAAGAAATGGAAAGAGAACTTAATGAGGAAGGGGAACTGGTAATCAGGGACCTTGGTAACCAAACTATGTGGAATAAGGTCCATGATAAAAGTTCTTAGATCACCTCTACAATGAATCAAAAAATGTTAATTGATCACCTACTGTATGCAAAGCAGTGTGCTGGCAAAGTAGGGCTTAGAAAAAAGGCTTTGAAGAGAGTCTAGTGTAGTTGATTGTGTGATTGATTTATTCATTAAAGAAACCATTGATTATACACCTACTACATTCTAGGTGCTGTGCTATGCTTTGAGACTAAGAGAGTGGAGAATTCAGTCTCTGCTTACAGTTTTATATTCACCAATAATGCTTACAGTTTCAAATTCACCATATAACATAGCATGTGCTACGGTGAGAAAGTGCATAAGCAGCTGTGGGAATTAATGGTATTCATCCTACCATTTGACTGTAAGTTGGATCTTTAATTTTAAGCAAAATTTGAGGCTAGTGATGGCATATTTCTGTGTATTTTTGTGATTGTTATTAAAGGTTCCAATGAGCCCATGGAAGTCTTTGTTGGAGAAATGACATCATACACATTACACAATCTCAACCCCAGCACCACCTATGATGTGAATGTTTATGCCCAGTACGATTCTGGGCTCAGCGTCCCCCTGACAGATCAAGGCACTACATGTGAGTCATGGATCTTTTCATGGTTCTAAGTAAAAGTGTAGTACAGATTATCAGGTCATTGTGTTTTAATTTTAACTTCTTCTCAACAAATGTATGTTTCTTCAGCATTAACTAAGTAGGCCATCTTGTGTCCAGTTAAACCAAATACCTATCTAAATCCGTAAGTAATGTAGTTGGTATTCAAAATATGTATGTGATAATGAAATGACATTCATTTCACATAAATATTATATTTTGAATTTTAAAAGAAAAATTATAGAAATTATCTTTTTATCCATGAATGATCTATAGAATTAGAGCTGTGATGCTATTTAGTTTTTCTTGATATTTAATGTTAAGATATATATTACCTAAATTTACTAATTTAATTTGGTTGAATTATTGATTCATGATTAATGATTTGACCCACAGCTAGATTTTATTGTTAACAGGGCTTTGATAGCTGTTTAAAGACTTGGCAGATACCTTTTCATAAAAAATTTTTATTCTTTTTCATGAGACGTAATGATTTGACCCACAGCTAGATTTTATTGTTAACAGGGCTTTGATAACTGTTTAAAGACTTGGCAGATACCTTTTCATAAAAAATTTTTATTCTTTTTCATGAGACGTAGACATATTTGACATTCGTAGTGTTGAGAGGGGACAACGTGGAATTCTCTTTCCTTAAAAATCAGTGATAAAAAGGAAGCTCTGTTTTGGATGTGCCACATTCTTCTATGTTCGTTTCTTATATGGAAACCTTAAGATTCTTTCATTTATTTTTTTCAGAAACAGTGGAAGTTTTAAAATTGTTTTATGATTAAAAGCATACTTTGACTTTTTTGACTTTATTTATATTACAAGTAAATCTCTTTCTTTCTTTCTTTCTTTACTTTGTAGTGTATTTAAATGTGACAGATCTGAAAACTTACCAGGTCGGATGGGACACATTCTGTGTCAGATGGTCACCTCACCGTGCAGCCACCTCCTACAGGCTAAAACTAAGCCCTGAAGATGGTATGTGTGTGAAATAAATAAATAAAAGTCAAGAAGATGGCATTTTGTGTATAAAATGACATATAAAAATGTCTTTGAATATAATTGATGACGACACTGGCATTTTCCCTTGTTGTCATAATCAGGAACCAGAGGACAAGAAATTACAGTGCGTGGATCAGAAACCAGTCACTGCTTCACTGGCCTTTCACCAGACACTGATTATGGTGTCAATGTTTTTGTGCAGACACCCAATCTTGAGGGACCAGGTGTACCTGTCAAAGAACATACCAGTAAGTTTTTGAGTAATCTGGAAAATCTCCATAAGGTTTCCGCATAGAATGCTCTAGGTGTGGGAGACTTCAGTGACTCCCATGCAGACACTTCTTCCCATGGGTAGCAATAATGATGGGATGATGGCAGGTTCCTGAAGGTGGAGTCTTTGGCTGGTTCAGGACCTTTGTCCCTTTATCTGCAGCAATGCCAAGTTGTCCCTGCGACACAGTTGGTGCTACTTTTAGGAGAGAACTAAAGTAGGGAGAGGGCGAATATGCATCCATATTAGTAACTTTTATTCATTTCACCCTATGTGAAGGCTTCATGTTCTCTCTTTAACTCTTTGCTTTACTTTCTGTAGCTGTCATTGATGTTGAATGACTACCAATGACATCAAATGTGGATAGAATAGAATCCCCAGTATGTCAATGCCAATGAGGCTGGAGCCTTATTTTCTAAGACTTGATTTAGTATCTAGGGTTTATATTGCTCTTAAAATTTACTTTCTGGGATATGAAATGTGCACATGTTGTGTTTTTCTAACTACTGTTTTTAAATTCCAGCTGTAAAACCAACAGAAGCCCCCACGGAGCCACCCACACCTCCTCCCCCTCCCACCATTCCACCAGCCCGGGATGGTAAGTACAGCTGAGCGGGAGATAAATTCAGCTGATAGGAATTTATAGACTTATTTATGCTGCATGTACATCATTTACATTTATGATTTATATTGCTGAAGAGGTTTTAGATTGAATGAAAAGATTACCAGTAATTTTTTCCTGTCCCTCTCTGGGCACATTTTGGTGTGAATAGAATCAATCACAAACCACTCCAGCTCTTCAGCTGAAACTCTGTTTCCTCAATTTTGCAGATTGAGGTCTAGAATACCTTCCATAGTCCATAGTCACATGGGCATTTTTTACTGCTGGATGCTGGTACCAATAGGCATTGTACCTTTTTGGCTATATCTGCAACCTAACCTCAGAGGCCTTTGGCTTCAGAATTCCTGGCTTCTGACCTGAGAAGTGCCCTCGATTACCTACAGCTAAAAACATTTCCATTCATCAAAGTTTGAGACATAATTTTCATTTGGAGTGAACTCGTAAAAAGAGATACTGAACTATTGAGGCTGGTCTCTCAGTCATTTGGAGCAATTCTTTAGTGCTTTATCAAATTAAGTTTAAGCTAATTTGATAATGTAGCTTTTTTTCCCACATTCTGTTTCCAGCATTTTTTTGGTGTGTGTGTGTTTCCAGCATTTAACAGAAAGCATTTCAGATTTTAAAGTGTTTTTCTTTCATCTTAGGAGGAGGATCTAGAGTGTTACAAGTCTGGAGATTATTATTAAAGATATTTATTTTCTTGTCTTCCTCTCCATATATGATTCTAGTGGCCTAATTTAAAATTAAAAAATAACTTATTTGCACCAAATCTTTGATAATTATATGTAGAATCTTTAAACCCACTGATGGCTGTCCTTCAGTCCTGGACATTGTTGCTTTTCATTTGTTGTTTAAAGTTACTTGAAGAGTTCCAAGAGGCAAGAGCATATCTTTGCATAAAAGATCTAAACAAGTGGAGTAATTCCAGAGCAGGAATTGAGGGTCAGTTAGACCAGTGTTTCTCAAATTTATTGTGCATATGAGTCATCTGGGCATATTATTGCTGATTCTGATTCAGGAGGTCTGGGGTGGTGCCCAAGATTCTACATTTCTGACAAGTTCCCAGGCAGTACTGTTGCTACTGAACCACCCTTTGAGTGACAAAGTGTTACACTAAATTTTTCAATTACGTAATTTCATTTGAACAGAAGAATTAATCAGATTTGAGGCTTCTTCTGATTTTTTTCCAGTATGCAAAGGGGCCAAGGCAGATATTGTGTTCCTGACTGATGCCTCTTGGAGTATTGGGGATGATAATTTTAACAAAGTTGTAAAATTTATCTTCAATACTGTGGGTGCCTTTGACGAAATCAGTCCTGCTGGGATTCAGGTGAGTGTCGACACACCAGTGGCTACTAATTTGTAATGTCTTGCTGTTTTTTTAAAACTTCCTTTTGTAAGTAGAAAGTCTTCAATATAAACTATGTTTTGACCTTTACTATTTGCTATTTCCTTAATACATGTATTTTTGGAAAGAATTGGGTGTAAATGATAAATAAATAGAAAAATAAATATTCCTCTGGTTTTGTCTTTGGCTAGATGATATTTTTGTTGGAGAATTCTGATTCTAACTTCCTGATCAAAACTTCCAACAATGATACCTTTTCATAAAAGGTCATCCAAAGTTCTGTTCATTAAATGCATTATAATTGTCATGCCTGTAAATTTAGAAGAATCAGTGAAGAATAGTGACAGGAGTGGCTGTGTGAAACCTGCTGCCTCTTCTGTCAATACATTACAGATATGACCTTGACCAGAAGAATGTCCATTATTGACCCAAAGGATATTTCTTTTGTTTTCCGAAAATGATAGCTACCAATTATCTTGCTGTGGATTCACTACGAATTTACTTCTTGTATCTGAGTAAGAGCTTAGAGAAGTTTATATTTTCATGAAAGACATCAAAGAACAATTCATCATTTAGCCCCGACCTGCCTGTGAAGTAAGAATCTCCTCCACCTCTTCCAACATACCCATGAACTGACTAACTCTCAGGCCCAGTGGCTCTAAACTATTTTGGGTGTCTTCCCAGACCTCTCTGAGAATCTGATTCAAGCTATTATTAGCTATTTCTTGGATTCTGCAACCTTGAAGACCCACTTCAAATTCCGTTCACTTCTAGAGAGGCTCCCTGATGGCTTTAGACATTCCATCCTTCCGAAGGATTTTGTCTATATTGCTATTACAGCAAGCATCACTTTCTATTGTCATTATTTGTCTGAATCTCTTCTATCTAAATCATTGACTTCTTAAAGTGAGAGACTGTACATATGTATGTATTTTTAATTCCCTTCTCCTTTTCTTTCCTATTCTTTTTGGAATACAATTTTTTTTTTCATTTTGGCAGTTTGTACTTCACTGTGGCATCTTAGAGGCATTATGAAAATAAGAGATTTTGAAATAAAGCATAAAGAATTTCATAAACAAACCATACCTTCTTTTATGAAATAGTACTTTATGGAATATACTACATTTCAAACCTCCAAATAATCCTGTGGACATCATTCCAATCCAAGAAGAGTCAGCCTAATTATAGTTATAAATTAATGTGTCAACAACCAAGCTATTTTTTTATCCTTGTAGAAATTAGGATTTGGTTGTTTTTTGGTGGCTGGCCAGTAAAGAGATCTGAACACTTGACCTTCGTGTTATCAGGATCATATTCTCCTGAGTTAGCTAAGCGGCCAGCCCATATTTTATTAACTTCTATGTACCAGTTACTTTGTATACATGATCGCTAGTCCTTAAAACAACCCTGTAAGGTAAGTATAATTATCTCCATTTTACTGATAAGAAAACTAAAGCCCATAGGTGTAGGGAATTTACCCAGTGTCACACAGCTATTAATTGGCAGAGCTAGGATTTGAGCCCAGTAAATCCTGAGTATGAAGTCTGTACTCTTTCCACTAAATCACATTTTCGCTGAGTTTCTGATGAGTGCTGATTATTATCAACATTTTTACATTACCATGAAGAATGGATATAGTCAGTGAGAAGGAGCAGTTGGCTGAGAACCAACTGTTCAGCTAATATTTGAGTTCAAGATGGTGTGTTCTCATTTCTAACCACCGCTCCCCAGCTTTACCCATCTCTTCCTATATCCTAGAGAAGGCACCAAATAAATACAGCGTGTTTTAATTATTTATGACAATTTCATTGAAGATTAGACATTAGAGACTTTAATGAGACGAGAGCAGTCAGTATTACGATATTAGCTATAAAGACCTTATAATATTGTCAGGTCTGAAACACTTTTTTACTCTATTCTGCAGCTAGAGGAATCACTCAAAGACTGAAGTATAAAGTGGGATGAGTTATACTCACTGCCAACCACATTTCCTTTCAGGTTTCATTTGTGCAGTACAGTGACGAGGTCAAGTCTGAGTTCAAGCTGAACACATTCAACGACAAGGCCCTGGCGCTTGGGGCTCTCCAGAATATTAGGTACAGAGGAGGAAACACAAGAACAGGTATAGTTAATCAGAGTATACGTAGACATTCACTTGCCAAAGCATTGGGAGGGTAGGACTGAGTGTATCACCTCATTCTAATATTCAGATTCTCATTAATTGGGCATGGGTAATGGCATTTGGATAGTTTTCACTGCGGTGACACTAAAATGTTCCATGCCACTCTCTGTAGGCAAGGCCCTCACATTTATCAAGGAGAAAGTATTGACCTGGGAGAGTGGCATGAGGAAGAATGTCCCCAAGGTCCTAGTTGTGGTCACAGATGGTCGGTCACAGGACGAGGTCAAGAAGGCGGCTTTGATTATCCAGCAGTCAGGTAAGCATGGTCATGAATTTGATTGCACTCAATATTTTAGTAGTTTTAAATTGTTCAGGAATGATTGCAACAGACCAAAATTGCTTATCTTACTTTATTGGTCTTGTTTTACTCTGTATTCTACACCCTTGCTCAAAAATGACATGGTGTGTTCTTTGTATAAGATGTGATTCCGAGCCTGTCAGGGGGAAAATTAATTTCCCCACGGGGGCTAGACGGCTACAGAAAGTAATGACCATGGGGTAACTCTAGAGCAGGCTTCCTGCCACAGCAGAAATGAATTTTGATACTGGTTCCTGTGCAAGAAGAGGCATAGGGAAGCCTTTAGCTTTAGCACATCCATCCCAGCAGATGCAGACCTAATACAGACTTCTGAAAGGTACTGCTAAGAAGGAGTGTCGAGGTCTCAGGGGTAGAGCCTGCCAATCAAACATCCCAAGAGCCTCCTGGCAACACTGCCTTTTGGATTAGTTATCTAGGATTATTAGAGATGAAGCTAGGTCTTTCCAGGCTTGCATTAACAGACCCCCTTCCCTGCCACCCCAAGCAGGGTCTAAGGTGGACATATTTTTAGAGCAAATACCATGGTATGCATGGTCTATTGTAGTAAATTGTAAAGTATTTCATTACGTGGAACTTGTCATCTGCACATACATGATTTTTTAGCTAAAATTATGAGTCACGATTACTGCTAAATCATACCATCTTTCAGTAGAGGTGATTCTTTTTGTTGACCTTTTTATGATTTATTGATGTTATGTTATACACCTTGAGCTGATTTTTGCATATTTTGGGCTCATGGCTGATTTAAGTCGGGGTAATGAATACTTGCTTCCGAAGTTCTCTTATTTATATCTAATTATATCCCTAATTCCTTATATAGCCCTTTTTTTCTGATGTTAATGTTAAATTAAGCTTTTGGAGTGAAAACTATTTGTATTAACCTAAATAAAGGGAAGTCCATTACCAGCAGAAATTGTATATTCCATTTCCAGGTGGCCAGAATGCTGCCTTTGAGCCTGAGTTGGCTGAGAAAACCAGTTTCAAGAATTCAGATTTTAAAATGAGCCCATTTTTGGCTTCTTAAACTTAATATTTTAATGGCTGCAAAATTCACATGTGTGTAAGGGCTGTGGATCTGTGGAAGGCAATGTGCACCACAAGAAGTCTTTCTGCTGTTAAAACCTTCTTATAATTGTTAGGATTTTATTTTAGGAAATACAATTAATTGAATTTTATAAACCAGAAAGTAGGAAGACCTGTACGTTCATACATACATACTTATTAAAGAGAGTTCATGTCAAATAAAAGGACTTGCTGCATACACTAAGAAAATACAGCATCATTTCTGATAAGATTTTAATTTGAATTGCTCAGACAATAAAGAATAGGAAAAGGAATATATGATTCATTCTATAAATGCTACTTTGCAGGGTTTAGTGTCTTTGTAGTTGGTGTTGCTGATGTTGACTACAATGAGCTTGCCAACATTGCCAGCAAACCAAGTGAACGGCACGTGTTCATTGTGGATGACTTCGAATCTTTTGAGAAGATCCAGGACAACCTAGTTACATTCGTTTGTGAAACTGCCACCTCAAGTAAGTCATGGTCAATATGGATCCCTAACCTCACTTGTTTTGAAAAATAATTACTTAGTAGACAATTCTCTGTTCTATATGGGATCAAGTCTGTGCATAAATAGATCCTGGGAAACCACTTGAGAATCTGATGAATCATTGTCCCTATTGAGATCATGCTAAATGCGTGCATGTCAGAGTCCATTTTTAGCCTTGAAGATGTAATTCCTTGTATGGAAATAAAGAATTTTAATATATCCCTTTCCCACCATCCCAAAGCCTGTGACATTTGGGTAAATTAACCTTCAGCTTAAAATTGCTTATATAGAAGCATTTCTGTGAGGTGAAGGCTTTCCCTATTAGTAATCAATTGGTATTCGTTTTGTCAACATCTGTGCTTCTAGAGAGCAATGAAAAAACTGGTGTGTGCTCCATAGAAATTCAGTTGGTTTCCATTTGTTTGTTTGGGTTTGGATTTTTCTTATACCAAGACCTCAAGTTCAGCTTTTAAACTACAATGAAGGACCAAAGATTGCTTATTTAAGTCAATTTATCCTCTTCCCTATTCATTAGCACCAATTCTTGGGGTATGAGATTATGGAGACAATTATGTGGCTAGTCTAGACCCCTGATCCTAGGCAAGGCTATGCTTTACAAAAGTAATATTAATACCCCCCCCCTCAAACATTATATTAAAAACTCAGAACTCTAGTTAGAGTAAACAGCTAAAGTGGTTTACTATGAAAACTCATGCTGAAGCCCAGAATGAAGCTGTATCGGTGAAAGTGAGAGGGGGGCTAGAGTTATCTGCCTTCTACTCCAGGTGGTCTGGATGCAGCCCTCTGGTACCCACAGCTCTGGGGGGTTCAGGGTGAAAACTACTGCATGCTCATTTCCCTTCTACGATGTATGGTAGCCAGTGCGGGGCTCCAGGGCATGGCAGGGAGGAGGGTTGGGGAGAAAAAATTCCTCTACCATTGCATAAATCTAAGATTTCCTGGGAGAGAAGTTCTTTAACTTGTCGAAAAACACGTGAAAAGTTCCCCCTTTAATTCTATTTCATTATTTTTAAGAACACTGTAAAATTCCAATTGGACTAGAGGATGTTTAGAAAACATTTGTTACACTGGTTAATAGTATAATTTCTCCTATATACAGGAAGTCTACATGAAATAACATAACAAATTAAATTGATAAGTTTTTTTATAAGTGAATGAACAGTTTCATTACTTGACATAATGTACGTTGCTGCTTTCTGCATGTATAATGTTTGTACTTCGTGTTGGTGACTCATACTTAAAGAACACTGTACATTGCAGGTTGTCCGCTTATTTATTTGGATGGCTACACCTCACCAGGTAAGCATTTTTACCCTTGGGCTAATTAATTTTAAGATTTAAGCAATAAAACAATTAAAATGTACTCATTTTAATATTTTCTTTTCTTTTTTGATGTAAAGGTTTTAAGATGCTTGAAGCTTATAACCTGACAGAAAAGAATTTTGCTTCTGTACAAGGAGTCTCTTTGGAGTCAGGTTCCTTCCCCAGCTACTCATCATACAGGCTTCAGAAGAACGCCTTTGTGAATCAGCCTACAGTGTAAGTGTGACAGCAGGAGGTCCTCTTTTTCTTATCATGGCAAGGGGTTCTTGGAATCTTTGCTGACTTCCTAGAATCCTTTAGGATTGTCAGATGACTCCTTATGTCTGACCTAGTTTGGTTTTCTTAAGTACAGTTGGGTTAATTGTCTTCCATCAGGTTACCTAGGGGTTTCTACATGGGAGACTAAGACTCAGCCCTAATTATTCCCAGACCCAAAAGTCTCATCCTAGTACTGCAGTATTATGGATTACTTGCCCTTTTGAATTTAAGGCTAGGGTTGTAGTTATGCTTCTTCTAAGGGAGGCTGTTAAAGCAGGAAGGCAATTTACTATTTTGAACATTTATCCCTCGGATGGGATGGAATAAGTGCAAAATGAGAGCAGCCAGTCCTTTTAGAGTCTCAGACCTCTAGAAAATGAAAGGCTGTGGTGGTTTTGCTTGTCCATGATCAGACAGGTGGCAGTTCGTTTTTATTGGCTAATCCTATAGCAATTGTTGTTATTCTACTTCATGAAACTTTGCACCTGGGCATGCTAACCAAAATATGTATTTCTTATTCATTAAAATGAAAACTTTTCTTACGTTAAAAAATATGTGTTTGGCAGCTTACGGAGAGAAAAGAACAAGAAGAAATAAAGTATCAGAAACTTAGGAAAGGGTCAGAAAATGACTCTGAAATTTGAAATGCTCTTGGAAAGCTGATGGGAAATTCAGACTAAAACCAGAGATAATTTATTTTAACGAGGCACAGATCATATTGTAGTTTGACCACATTGTCAGCTCCCGACTCTTTTATGGTTAACCACATTGGTTCGAAGTTCTAGGTTTTTTCAGTGAACCTTAATGACCAGTGCTTAACTCTTTCAGTCACCTACAGATATGATTCCTACGTGTTAAGTCATTATGACAGCCTGCTGTTCTCACAAGAGTCAGAACCCTTGACTGAAAGGAAAGAAATGTGAATGCAATTTAATTATTTTTTTCTCAAGCACTAGTTAACTAAGGAAGAAGAAGAATGGGCTGGGTGAGAGATGAGTTAATATGGAGAATTGTTTTTAACATGGAATATTATAAAGATAGTTCCTGATCATATAAAAGGCATCATATCAGCTTGCCCAGAGCATATGTTTTAAGAAGCAAGACAGCATTATAGTCCAAAAAATACTAGCAGTGTGGTACTAGTACATGGAGCCTCAAGAGAAATTCTGTGCCTTCTGCCAAAATTTGCGGGGGAATAGTTTCTTTTCCATCCAGCAGTTGATTATCAAGGCCTTTTTTCTGCTTTCAGAGAGAAAGTGTTATTAAATGGTCTCAGACAGAAAACCATCAATTCTGCCTCCGAGATTCCCCCAGAACACTGATTGAGTGAACTGTGGCGGGACACATGGGACTGAATTTGTTTGTCTCACAGCCTTAGAGCCAAGAAACATTTCCTTTTAATTAAATCACATCCCTTTATCATCACTAAACATTTGCACATGTACATGGCCTTAACATTTAAAATTGGTTTTGTTTTTTGGGAATATGTGCACTTCTGGAATATGTGATTTATTTGATTTCAGAGGAGGAATTTGGAAGTGTAAAATCTATTAGTGATAGGGAGAGAGAAATTAAAAGCTTAAGCCATTTGACCTATGATCTCATACCTGACATTGAAAATTAAGTATATATAGTAAGATTCATTCTCTTTAGATGATATCCATAGTTATAATGTTTATCACTCTAAATTTATATTATTTTACAACTCTATATATATCTAGAAAAAGTTAGTTATTAACAGTGGGATAAAAGACTATTTGACAAATTTCCGAGACTTTTGTAACTTTATCAAATTATAAATAATCTATTGCTACTTATATAATGGGTCTTTAGTGTTTGTTCTTTTGATGCGTTTCCTAAATTTTTCTACTTCTGATATGGAGCTAGATTATTACAAACAGCCTTTAATACAATTAATAAGCCATAATAAGATTCTGGTTCAAATATTTTAAATAGTTTCTGTTTCTGATGCTAATCCCTATTTATTTATTTTGTTTTATTCAACAGAGACCTACATCCAAATGGACTCCCTCCTTCATACACTATTATATTATTGTTCAGACTTCTCCCAGAAAGTCCCAGTGATCCTTTTGCAATTTGGCAAATCACAGACAGAGACTACAAACCACAAGTTGGAGTGATTGCTGATCGTAAGTATTTTTCTTGTTTTAAGGCACATGCATACATAGTTTTGATTATGTTTTTCTCTTTCCTTGTCTTTTTTCTTCAACAAACTTCTGAATATATATATTTATTTGAAATATGCTTTTATGTTTAAACTTTTCCAAATGTAATACATGAGTAAATATTCTGATTGCATTTTATCACAACTAATCACAAATCACAAATAATTTTTGAATTATTGCACTTCTTAGAAATTTCTCCAACAAGAGTTATAATACTTCCAATAAAAAGTATACCATGCATATGATTTAATAACAATTTTATGTTGATTACAGCTTCTAGCAAGACATTATCATTCTTTAACAAGGATACAGGAGGCGAGGTGCAAACTGTTACATTTGACACAGATGAAATAAACACATTATTTTATGGAAGTTTTCATAAGGTAAAAACATAATTTATCTGAATCTTATTTCCAGCATAAAGAAAATGACTTAAAAATTAAAACTAATTTCTTTTATTATTTATTTCAAATGTCATGTTAACTTGGTAGAATCATAGCTATGTCTTTTAAAAATAAAATCTTATTTCAGAGAATTTGATTAATTCAAAGAAGAAAATTTAAACTAAAACAATAATTCTATTAACTGAGAGATAACTACTATTAATACTGATATATTTTCAATGCTTATATCTTTTCAAAATTTGAGTCATACAGTTTATACAATATTGTTCTCCTGTTTTTTCTACTTACCATTTTATTGTGAACATGTATGTCACTTAATTTGAAAAGTTTTAAAAATTTAGTTTTTCTTTAATTTTAGCGGATATTTTAATTGATAATATTATTCTTTTATAGAGAATAGTAACCTTTTGTGCTTGCTTGTTTATGTTATAAACATGCCATTGAAATGTAGAATAAACACTTTTTATTTTGTATCAATGTTTACCAAAATAATTAAGATAAATGTTTGTAAGACTAACTTTTACATGAACACACTTACTCTCTAAAAATACAATTCTCTAAGCATGCAGTTCTCTAAAAAATCTTATTAAATGCTCTAAGATGCATTCTAGGGGACTGTCTGTCTTGGTGATTTTAGTTAATTTTCTGTATGTCAGCATCCTGAGCATAGTAGACCTTTTCTGTCAGGTTTGATTAGTTGACAGAGTACTGAGGTTGGAAGCATTAGAAATGGAAAGAACAACCTAGGTTAGGAATGGACTTTTCTAATGGTATTTCTTCATCCATTGGATTTCATTAACAGGAATACCAGTTGTTGCACAAGTGTCTAAAACTTCTTCAGTATGCCATGCAGAAAGATTAGCCCCCATACATAAAAGACAAATATTTCCAGCTCAGTCTAATTCTGAAGTGAAAATTGAAGAACCTTCCTCTACTTGAGTGGACTTAGCAGGATTCCTTGCTATTGCTCTTCCTGAGAAATCTTGGTTATTTTCCAGAATGTTTTTCTTATTTATGAATCAGATTCTTGATAAGCGTGGTAGAGGACTCTCTTCATTGAGCTCAAAGAGGCTTCTATGTGCACATTAGTGAAAACCAAAAAAAACAATAAAGGAAAAGTGAAAATCTCTAAGTACAATAGTATATCTATCTACTTAAAAACTTACAGATTTTCATGGTGATGTACTGTAAAATAAAAGCCTTACTGGGAAAGCAAATTCCAGTTTGGTGGATTTTATTCCCTTCAACTGTTTATTACATAATAGACTTTGAATCTGGCAAAGTTTTTATAAACTTTTTTGGCTCAATGTTATGCCTATTAAACTTACACTTGAATAATTTGCTGAGAAGAACTATTTTATTTTTTTCTTCCATATTCACTGCAGATATTCAGAATATAATCTACTAAATAACTGACAACCAACCATTTAGTAACAGTTATTTTTAAATTTCCAACTTTCATGGAATGCTTCATTTTATTTGAGTCAAAAAGGGCAATATTTTTCAGAGGCGTATAGTAATGGTCATTAATTATTGCAATTCAAGATAATTATTTTTGTGATATTCCCTTTTTCATTCCATTTGCCTTCCCAGAGAAGCATTTGAATTCTTGGGTTTTATGTAATGCCTTTTCTTTCTCCTCACAAGCTTTGTCTTCTCTTTCCAGATTCACTACCTTTTTTTCATAATCTGTCTTTCTTTATTTCCTCCTTTTCTTTTTCACTATGCCCTTTTTCCTCCTCCATTCCTCGACCTCATTCTTTTGTTTATGTTTTATTGAGATGTCATTGACATTTAAGAATTGTATATATTTAAATGTATGAGGAGGTATTTTGAGGTACATATACATTGTGATCTCCACAAGTAAGCTAATTAACATACCCATTACTACTACACAGTTGACATTTTGTGTGTATATGTGTTGAAAATATTTAGTCCAAATCTAGCTTCTTAGCAAATTACCAGTGTGAAGTATCCCACCCATTCTTACTTATCCCATCAATTCAAGTACTACCGTCTATCACTATCTGCTATTCTTTACTGAGCTAAGGATTCAAACATTCTTCTTTCACTTTCCATGAAATGCGTCAACTGAAGTTCTTCAATCATGGGATGAGAATGAGAAGTACTCTGAGAGCAGGAAATTAGTGACAATGACAGGGAGAGGATCCTTTGGAGACGGGGGATTAGCTAAAAAGGTTTAATTAGGGAAGGACAGTTTTTACTTCTTGTGGATTCTCTTGAAAAGCTTTTCTTGTGTCATCCCTTCTACTGTTAACATAGGTGTGAGAATTTTATAAGGGGAAGAACTAGAATAGGTGGAAAAGTTTTAGGGAATGGCAGAGCCTGGGAAGGGAGATGAGTGACAAGAGGATCCCTATGTCTTTCTACTGGTTTGTCACTAACAGAGTTTGAGAGTTGAGAAGTAGGTTGGTCACCTCGAATACTTAGGACAGTGATGTAAAGATGAAGAGCCCAATCTGAAATGTAACTGTGTGTTTAAAATGCAATAAAACATATTGAATAAATTATAGAAAAATGTGTTTTTAATATGTGCTTCTTTATGGTTAGCATCAAAGGACAAGTGTACTTGGAATCATTTTTATACAAATTAAAACAGTTTTGATTTTGAAATAATTTTTTCTGGATACTGTGATTTTTTAGATGCTTCACAAATATTTGTTTCTGTGGCTGTTCATATAAGAGCCAGTAAAAAAGTTTTAAGTTTTATTAAATAATAAATATACTGGAAATACCCTTGAATTCAATATTAGTTGATTGCCTTGGGGGCATTTAAACTTTATTTTTAGTAAGCTATGTGTCACTTTTTTTATAAAAGCAATATGTAATTCATATATATCATTAGATTCACTAAACTAATGTTTTGGTGGCAATTCCATGTGGGAAAAATATTTAGTTTATTTATTTATTTATTTATTTTTTGTCTTTTCTCGTGTCTGGCAACGGATTGCAACCCTCAGTGTTGCGCCCGTACCGGACCGGGACCGGCAACGGAATCGCAACCCTCGGCATTGCACCCGCACCTCGCTCAGCCAGTGAGCAGGAACCGGTCTGTATGTGGGATCTGAACCCTCGGTGGGAGCGCCGCCGCACTCCCAAGCGGCGCACTGTAGCAGTGCGCCACCGGGCCGGCCCCGAAAAATATTTAGTTTAAAAATAAAACTTTAGAAATTGTTCTTATGCTTATTGACCTAGAGAATTTAAGGGAATTCCCATTCCTTTTAACTTGCTGCCAAGCTTCTCAAAGTAATCATCACGTGCTTGAATATTTGTGCTGTGATACGTGGAAACTATGAGCATAGCCATAAAGTTAAGGATTACCCATGACCATTCTTTACATTGCTGAAATACAAGTGTTTTATGAATTATCTGTACTAATAGATTTCTTAACATTCTGTGTGTCCTCAGTAGCAGGCAGACAATAAATCAATATAAGCTTCTTTCCGAAAAGAAAAGTGAATCCTGAATTCTATTTATTTCCAGAGTTGGATCTCTATAGAAGGCATGTGCTAATTCTTTACTGTGTTAGGTATCTATATGGGTTACAGGTTCCTTTTGGCTTATACTGGGGAATAAAACACTAAAAATTGAATTTAGCAAAATCAGTGGAAGACATCTGAGGCTTCTTTGTACTGAGTATAATAATATAGACATGATTTATTAACCTCTACTTGGACAGTTCTTTATAGTTTACAAAGTTGTTTCATCCACAACATCCTCTTTGGTCATCTCAGTAAGAGTACACAGTGGGAAAATAAAAAATTATGCGTGTATATGTGGATGAAGGAAACTGAGACCCAGAGGTTGAGTGGCTTGTTTAATTTCATATTGTTAACAAATGACATTATTGACATTGCAACCTGGTTCTTAGATTTTTAGTTCAAAACTGTTGACTTGGGATGATAATGGCTTAAAACAAACTTTTTTAGAAAAAAATCTGTGATCTGAAATATGCATATTCAACTATTTTTTTTGGGGGGGTAGAAATTTTATAATGAAAACAAATTATCTTTTTAGGTTCATATTGTAGTGACTTCAAAAAGTGTTAAGGTTTACATTGACTGCTATGAAATTATAGAAAAAGACATCAAGGAAGCTGGAAATATCACAACTGACGGTTATGAAATTCTTGGAAAACTACTTAAAGGGGAGAGGAAATCAGCCACAGTAAGTATAATTTTTTATTTTTCTTGTTATTTTGTGTTAAGATTGAAATGGCAGAAAAATAGCTCAGTGGTTTTATTTATTTTTTTCTCAGTGAGTTTTAACTTGTCAAATTCCTTGGTCAGGTTGAAACATTGGAAAAGTTACATTGAGAAAATATGCTATGAACAGAACATAATAACGTGCTTTACTCCTAGAAACGAAATACAATGTTAAGGCACTGGGGAACACACCATGTAGTCATCTTGAAACAGGATCAAATTGGAGAGTACAACACAAATAGTTGCCAGAATACCCAGTGAAATCTAAAATAGTTCCTTTTTTTGCTCTTCAAAGATAATAATTGTTAATTCAAATTTGTGCAATCAAAACATGAAGCATTTGTGGACACTAGCTGTGACTGTCACTAGAGCCTCTTGTTCCCTTGCAGAGTCATTTGTCTGTCTCAGAAGGATCTGCGTAGTAGGGCAGCCAATGGACTACATTACTTGCACATTTCATTGCCTCAGGTATGAGGCAAGAGCACACCAACCCTATTTACAATGCTATGTAGTAGTAAAAATTTGAATCCAAAGTTTTCACGGTGGTAGGCTAAGTAAGTGCATATTAAAAATCAGTCAATGAACATATTGTCCTAAAAGCAAAGCTAACCTTTTTGGCTTCCATTATTATTTTTTTAATGGCATTATTTGTTTAATTTAGCTTTCTTCCAATGGACAGGATTGTCACCTAGATCCACAAGGGAATTTTTTATTCTACAATATAAAAACAATTAGTTCAAATTTAATATAAGTATGATTAAAATTAAAACTTTTGGTAGAATATTGGATTTGATATTTAAATAGTATAATTATATCAGGTTTTTAAAAGAATGACTGAACAAACTTTCCCTTTTTTTCAAAAGTGCTTTATTTTTAAACTGTAGAAAGATAAGAAGGTATTGAAATAGTTGAGGCCATCAGAAAAATTATTAGTCAGCCCCTAGGTAACAATTTCCGAAAAGAAAAGCATCAATTGTACGATAAGTGAGGAATTATTTCTTTAATGTTGCTTTTCTACAAGGACAGACCTTTAAGAGTTGATTTAAATGTATGTAGTCTTCAAACTCATTTAAATACAGAAATTAATTAGAAAGCAAAACAAAATTCTTTCAAACATTTCAGTTTAGCCAAAATGCTGAATCAGGAGTAAGAACTGCGCATATGCACTTCACTTTACTGTCTCTTTCTCTTAGGCATATATTCATATGTTTTTCTTATGAAGTAAGGATCACATTGTACTCTGGAGAGAGTCTGTGTGAGAAGTTGGCAAAGGTTAAAATGAGGAAACGTTAATATAAAATGTTTTTCATGCATCTTTAGCTGATGTTGCTGTTGGTTGTTTGCAGTTCCAAATACAGAGTTTTGACATTGTCTGCAGCCCAGTGTGGACGAGTAGAGACAGATGCTGTGATATCCCCTCTAGGGTAAGTAAAATGGGATGTATCCTGTCGTGACTTTAGTAGTCCCCCAGGAATAATCCCCTGTGATGCTGGCTGTCTGGGAGAGGAAACAGCACTGAGCAGCTGCATCTCCAGGAAGAAGCTAAGGGGCACACAATACGTGCATGCTCATCAGCTACCACAGGTCAGGCCAGTGCCTGTGTGACCTGTCCCCCGCAAGCTAGGAATGCACAGACTATATCTGGAAATTCTGCCTAACAAAAGTCCTGCTGAGTCAATGTGTTCACAAACCTACTTACTGCGAAGCTGTCCTGCTGCTTGTAAAATATCAGCATTTTACAGAATAAACCAGCACTTTTTTGGATATCTAAGGTTTCTTAGATGGTAGATATAACCATATTTCTTTTTTGAGATTCTGGCTTTCCACCCATAGTACTGTGTAGGTGGAAATAGTTAGAAGTTGATTGTTGGTGATATATTTGTAAATTTTGGCAAGCAAAGAACTGCATACATCCACAGGATGAATGTGTATTATTTATTAAACAAATATTTATTGAGCACCTATTATGAACCAGGCACTATTCTGTGTGCTAGGGTTACAGCAGTAAAAAATAAGTATGCTAGTGAAAGACAGTGGGAGAGAAGTAATTACATAGATATATACGTTCTCATAGAGTGAAAATCTTAAGATGAAGAACAAATCAGGGTAAAGGGCTACTGATGACTTCTAGTGATTGGCCCTCAGTGGTAAGGTGAGGTTTAAGCAGAGTCCTGAATGAAGTGAGGAAGAGTATTTCAGCTGATGGGAACTGCAGATGCCACAGTGTGCTCTAAATAGCTGAGAAACATTAAGGAGATCAGTGGGGCAGCACTATAGCGAAAGTGAGGGGGGGAAGTAGTAGGCAGTGAAACAGGCAGGGTGGTGGGGTGCTGATTTGCAGACCATGTAGGGCCTTGGAAGTCACGGAAAAGATTTTGGATTTTTTTCTGAATAAAATGGGAGTCAATATTTCAGATACACAGTGTTTCTCTAACACTAGATTAGAGAAAATTGTATTAAACCACCATTGGTCTTGTAAACATTTGTCATGTGAGGTTTCCTAAAATGAAGCGTAAAATAAAGACGTAAAGGAACAGAGCAAGTTTCAATGTAAGACTGTTTGTATTGGTAACTAGACACTATTTTTTCCAGTTGGGAAACAGACTTCCTTGTGTATGTAAATGGGGTGGGAGATGGGGAGTTGGTTTTTTCCCCCTCTAAATTCATAGGTAAATATTCTTTTCACAATTTCAGAGAGATGAAGCAAAATGCCCTGCTCTTCCAAATGCTTGCACATGTACACAGGACAGCGTTGGACCTCCGGGACCTCCAGGCCCTGCAGTAAGGAAACTGAAATAGTCCCTCTGGTTTTCTCTTTGAAATCTTTGGAGTGATCATCTGTTTACCAGTATGGAGTCCATAAAGTGTTTCCATCTGTCCGTGTTTTCTAGGATAGAGCAAGCTAAATTGTAGACCATCTTTAGAGTATATTTAGAGATTGGAAATGAAGGAAATCAAGAAGAAAATTCAGTTCTGGTATTTGACATATTTCTCCAGCCATGCAGGAATGATGATATTGGCTAGTCTTCAAAAGTTTTTCTCTTAAAGATATGAACCTGGATTTTCATCTGTAATTACATGATTTTGAAAATTCCTTACACTTCCTGAAGGCTGCTTTAATATATGGTATAGATCCATGGTTGAGAAGCTAACCCAAGAACAACTTGTTTAGAACCTAAAACATGTGCACCTTATATAGCAGACATATCATGAGAATAACATATAAAAAGGGTAATTAACATATTTGATATCATAAACTCTGAGCAAAAGTATTGGGATCTAGCATAACTTGAGTAAGAAGATTATGACCAGATCTATTCATGGGGGGAGGGGAGACCAAGAAAATACTAGGCAAAACATTGACAATTGCACTGATCAATGTGGAACCCCTTGATTTAGTCAACCCAACAGCTGACCTGGGTCAGTTTTGAGGAATGGAAGTGATAGCTCTAAGCACTATTGGCTTTTAAGAAAATGAGTAATTAAAATAGCAACAACTGGGGATTCTCAGAACACCAAATTTTGCTACACTTGGGTCACAACAAATAAAGTTAATTGATTTTAGGTTAACTACAAATCAGCTCCTCATATGCAGAATCAAACTGTCATTGGAATTACCATAAATTATTTTTTTTAGTACTGGTGACTTACCTGATTTATATTTGTAATCGTAAAATTAAGATGTTTTTGAGAAGTTAAGAATTTTTTTTCTATGATTGTATGGTAACATTATTGGATGTCACTATCATATTTATTTCCTCTTTGTTTAATGGTCTCTGAATTCCTGTTACTTACATACATGTTCTGAGGTTCTGAGAGATTTACGATGCTCTTCTTTTTGCATATTATTTTCACTAAAGAATGTAATTCACATAATTCTAAAACACGTTTTTCTCTTTACTATATTCAAGTAATGTTTGTTTTTTCCAATAAACCTCACATTTTCAAATGAACTTCAAATTTTGCTAACAATAAGAAAAGTTCAGAATGTAAAAATAATATACTTACGAGTGTACAGAATTTTGAAATTCTCTTTTCCCATATAATTGTATGACATGAAATATTTACTTCAATAGTTTGCAAGTAGCTGTAGAAGTGCTGATTGTCAGGAGAATGCACTCCTTCTTGAAACAATTTTTATATATCAACTTCTTCTTACTTTCCTTATGTTCACACTAAAATATGCTCTTCCTGTGTATTTTAGGGAGGACCTGGTGCTAAAGGTCCCAGAGGTGAAAGAGGTATCAATGGGGCAATTGTAAGTATGTTTTAGAGTGCATTTAAATTTTCATCTATATGTTGAAGTCTGGTTGCTCAAATTTCCTCTGAGGGGGTGTGTGACCGTGAGCAAGTCAGCTCAGGTTTAGTGTGCCTCAGGTAACATAATTACCTCTATCTTGTCTCTGGATGTCAAAATGATGGGTTAAATTAGGCAGAAGAAAAAAATCTATACAATGCATCTCACAGGTATAGCAATTACACACGGGAAGTCTACAGAAGAACCTTAAGGGTTCTGTTGGAACATGGGGAAGCAGACGGGGTGACCTGACCCCACTGGGAGCAGAGCCCCAATGTCAGGAGAGGTTCTGCTGCTGCTCTTTTTTTGCCTGTCAGAAAAATGCTGAGTGGTCAATTATGCATTCGCTAGGGGTCACCGGGCCTTCTACCAGTTCCGCACTGGTCTTCCATGAAACAACCCAAGTTTCCCAGTGGAATATTTTATGAAAATAATGTGTAGTTTTTGGTCATTATATCATTAATGATAAGCTAACCCAGTTAGGAAAGGGAGAGGTTGTGGTGCTAACCCAGGTCTGACACCTAGTTTGTGCCCTTTCCACTTAAGTTGCCAAAGAGCTCCAGACAGCACATCTAATCCATGGATATCTGTCCATTCCTTGCTTGATTTATTCATGTACTGTAGTCACAGAAATAAGCTCAAGTCTAACAGAAATCAGGACTAGCTTAAAATAAATCAACTCATTTGAGCTTAGATCTCCTATGAATCTATCAATATAAATATACAAATACATTGTATTCAATGTATTTTACTCAAAAAAATCTACTTCTAATAGGACTTTTATGGAAATTTAAGTGCTCTTTTGAATTCAGTGTATTTTCTAATTGTTCTTTAACAAGTAGTAAAGGGAAGAGAGGAATAGCATTAGTAAATACTTTTATAGATGTATAGATTTCTAAAACGTTTGCAAAGATTATGTGATTGATATGTTACAGTTATGAGACAAGTTTCTGTCTGAATGTTAGCATTGGAGGAGCATTCCATTCCTTTGCGGTTGTCTCTCACTTGTGTATTTTAGGGGCCCCCTGGTCCCCGTGGAGATACAGGTCCTCCAGGCCCTCAGGGTCCTCCAGGCCCCCAGGGACCCAATGGACTCTCTATTCCGGGAGAACAAGTAAGCACAAAGACTGTCTGTATTAAATGAGAAGGGGGATTAACATTGAGTTTAACTGGAGCATTTTCTTTTTTTTTGCCAAACTCAAATGGTTTCTCAGAGAATTCAACAAGGTTAGTCACGGAGGTGACGTCTTTTGATGGTGATTTTTTCAGATATGTAAATAGTATATGTAATAATATATAACTGTGCAGAAAAACTATTGCTTCTTATTTGACCTTTAAAAAATTTTCTTATTAATGCATATATCCCTTATATTAAACTATGTTCTTTCAAAATAGTTATATTATCCCATAATTATATAAAATTATCTGCAAAACATTGTAAGTGGAAATTATAATGTAGCATTTGTAGTTTAAAAAGTGAGTATTAATCCAAAAAATGGTTTATTCATCTCCCTTCAAAAATACCTTTATGTGCTCATCTCTGAACCCTTGCATTGGATTTATGAAGTGATGAAGATTTCATAAGTGACTCATGTCCTCCTTTTTCACTTAATCTCTGTAAAATGTCTGCGAACTGTTTTCCTGTTGTTCACTCTAGGGCCGCCAAGGGATGAAAGGTGATGCTGGAGAGCCAGGACTTCCAGGCCGAACAGTGAGTTGGTTGTTATTTAAAAATTTGCCTTTGTAGTGCCTCAAAAGGTGAACCAATGTTAAGGAGCAAAGCAGAAGCCTGGACATGTGCTTCACAGTATTTCCATTTCATACCCTGGTCTTAGTCAAGTTTCTGCTGTTCAATTCAGGTATCTGCTTGTTGACTGAGCATCTACTATGTGCCTGGCCCTGTGCTTGGAAGTATATTACTATGTTTCATTTGTCTGTCTCCTTCTGTGTAGGGAACCCCAGGATTACCTGGCCCACCAGGACCAATGGGACCTCCAGGAGATAGAGTAAGTTTTCTTGGGCAGCTATAATAATGTTGGGAATGATATCACACTGTTGCCTGTTAATTAAGAACCCTCCACAATCCAGTTTGCATGGCTGGAAATGTGAGTTCACTTTTCTTGTAGAAAGCTGCAAAGCTAATGTCAGTTGACCATTCAAAATCAGATCAGTCTCAAGGTCTAAGATACAAAGCAGTGGGACTTTAGGGGAGTCCTTGACATTTTAATTTTGGAAAAATTTTTTATTTTATTGAATTCAGAAAAAGAAGTCCAGAAAAGGACTTTTGGTTGATTAGAAAGAGATTTTTTGTTATGAGGCAGCTTTTATGTAATTGAGAGTATCCTTGGCTTCCATGGCACTTTCTATGAAGTCAAGACATCCTCTGTACACCTTTAGAACTCAAATACCACTTCTAGGCCTTGATGGTGGGGTAGACAGCTGGTACTTAAGAGGGACTTTGCCCATTTGTGGCAGCTTTCAGGTTTGCTCTTGACTTAGGATGAAAGCAGTGTAGAGAACCCAACCTTGTCTATGACAAATAAATGAGAAATACAGTGAACATGACCTCTGTGCTCTGTTCATCAGTGTTCTGGAAACAGTTCCATAAGAGACTGTGAATGCTTTAATAATAAGAACTCAGAGACTTTAGAGTTGCTCAAAACAGAGCAATTAATGACTTTTCAGCATCTTATGGTTCAGACAACAGTCTGACAGTAGTTTGCATTCCGACTAATC